AAGAGACATTATAGTCACACTCTTGAAGACCAAAGGTAAGGAGAGAATCTTGAAAGTAGCAAGAGAGAAGCAAGTCATCACATACAAGGGATCCTCTATAAGATTAAGTGCCAGTTTCTCCTCAGAAGCCAGGGACACCAGAAGACAGTGGGATGACATATTTAAAGTGCTGAAAGAAAAGAACTGTCAGCCATGAATTTATATCTGGCAAAACTGTCTTTCAAAACTGAGGACACAGTTCAGAAAGGGAGGGTGAAAATGATTATACAACTTGAAGAATGTAATCAGTGTCACTAGATTGTACAAGTAGAAATTGTTGAATTGGTGTATGTTCTGCTGTGTATATTCTCAACAACAACAATAAAAAAATTATTAAAAAAAAAACAAAACTGAGGATGCAATTAAGTAATTCCCGGATAAACAAAAGCTATGAGAGTTTGTTACCAGAAGACCTACCCTACAAGCAGTGCTGAAGGGTGTCCTTCAGGTTGAAATGAAAGGACAGTAGACCGTGTCTCAAAGCCATAGGAAAAAAATAAAAGATCTCCAGTAGTGGTAATTTCATGAGTAAATATAAAGGCCAGCTTTATAGTATTTTTCGTTTGTAACTCTTCTTGTTGTATCCTTGTTGTTGTTGTTAGCTGCCCTCAAATTGGCCCCCAGCTCTTGGCAACCCCATGCACAATGGGATGAAATGCTGCTCAGTCCCACACCATCCTCATGATAGGTTGCAGATCAGATCATTGTGATCCATAGGGTTTTCATTGACTTATTTTTGGAATTAGATTACCAGGCCTTTCTTCCTGGTTCATCTTAGCCTGGAAGTTCCACTGAAACCTGTTTACATTATTGCAGCATACAAGCATCCACTGACAGAAAGTGGTGGCTGCACATTATCTGGGAATCAAACCTGGGTCTCCTACATGGAAGGCAGGTATTCCACCATTGAACCACCACTGCCCTCATTATTATATCCTACAAGATTTAAAATACAAATACAAGTAATTATAAATTTATGTTATTGGACACACAGTGTATAAAGATATAATTTGTGACAACACCATAAAGGGAATAGTGATACTGGAACAAAGTTTTTATATGTTATTGAAGTTAATATCAATTTAAACTAGGTTGTTATAAATTTAGGATGTTAAACTTAAGCCCCATGGTAACCACAAAGAAAATATCTACAAATTAGACACTAAAGGAAATGAGAAGTTAATAAAAATGCTTCACTACAAAAAATCAACTAAACACAAAAGTAGGCAGTGTTGGAGGAAATGAGGGACAAAACGGTATAAAACAAGAAAAATAAAAGATACCAAAATCAGGAAAGAAAAAGTAAATATCCCTTTTACAGATGACATGATCCTATATATAGAAAATCCCAAAAATCCACAAGAAAGCTACTAGAGCTAATAAATGAATTCAGTAAAATGGCAGGGCACCAGATCAACACACAAAAATCAGTTGTTTCTACACACCAGCAATGAACAATCTGAAACGGAAATTAAGAAAACAATTCATTTACAAGAGTATCTAAAAGAATAAAATATCTACTAATAAATTTAAACAGGGAGGTGAAAGACTTGTCCGCTGAAAACTACAAAACATTGCTGAAAGAAATTAAAGAAGACTAAATAAATTGAAAGAAATCCCATTTTCATGGATTGTAAGACAATGTCATTAAAATGTCAGTACTACCCAGAGCAATCTGCAGATTCAATGCAGTCCCTATCAGAATTCCAACTGCTTTTTTTTTTTTTTGCAGAAATGAAAAAGCCCAAACTAAAATTCATGTGGAATTGCTGACACCAAAAGCACAAGCAACAAAATAAAAAAAAAATTAGTGTTCATCAAAATTAAAAACTTTTCTGCATTAGGGGCCATTATCAAGAATGTGAAAAGATAACCTACAGAATGGGAGAAAATATTTGGAAACCATGTATCTGATAAAGGTTTAATATCCAAATATATTTAAAAAAAAAAAAAACCCCAATGAAAAAATAGGTAAAAGACTTAAATAGACATTTCTGAAGCACAAATGGCCAACAGGCACATTAAAAGATACGCAAAGTGAGTCTATAAATCAAAACTACAGCGAGTAGTAAGTACTACATCACATCCACTAAGATGGCTACTATCAGAAAAATGGAAAATAACAAGTGTTGGTGAGGATGTGGAGAAATTGCAATCCTCGTGCATTGCTGGTGTGAATGTAAAATGATGCGTCTGCTGTGGGAAACAACTTGGCAGTTCCTCAAAAAGCTAAACATGGAATTACCATATTGTCCAGCAATTCCACTCTTGGGTATATACCCAAAAGAATTGAAAGCAGAGACAAAAACAGATACTTGTACACCCGTGTTCATAGCAGCATTATTCACAATAGCCAAAAGGTGGAAACAATCCAAATGTCCATCACCAGATAAATAGATAAAATGTGGTGTGTGTATATGTATGTCTATATGTGTGTGTATACGCACACACATGCACACACACACACACACACACACACACACGCACACTCTGAATGGAAAATATACGGAATATCTGGAGCCCTGGTGGCAAAGTGGTTAAGTACTTGGCTGCTACACCAAAAGGTCAATAGTTAGAATCCACCAGCCGCTCCTTGGAAACTCTATGGGGCAGTGCTACTGTGTCCTATAGGGTCGCTATGAGTTGGAATCGACTCATCGGCAACCGGTATAATGGGTATATATTATTCAGCCATAAAGAGAAAAATGAAGTGTTCCTGTACATGCTACAACATCGACGAACCTTGAAAACATTCTGAGTGAAATAAGCCAGATACAAAAGGACAAATATTGTATGATCCCACTTATATGAAATATCTGGAATAGGCAAATGCATAGAGATAAATACTTATTAGAAGTTACCAGGGGCTGGAATGAGAGGGGAATGGGGAGTTATTGCTGAAGGGGTACTGAGTTTCTTCTTGGGGTGATGAAAAACTTTTGGAAATGGATAGTGGTGATGGTAACACTACATGGTGAGTGTAATTAATGTCACTAAATTGTACACCTTAATGGTTAAAATGACAAATTTTCATATATATTTTACCACAGTAAAATTATTTTAAAAACATAAACTTCAAACCAGACTTGCTGAATTCTCAATTCAAAATTCCTTTAAATATCAATCGAAGCATAATAACTTGGGTTTGATTTTTATTACAGATAAACTTAACCACCTTATCTTAAGTGAATGTAGATAGTTTTATTTACTACAATTTAAAATAGTTAATATGCAGCAAGCACTAAACTGAAAGCTTTTACGTGCACTATTTTATTTAATCTTTGCTTTATGAGGTAGAATCTTACCCATTTTGGAGATTTTAAAACTAGGGATTATAGAGTGTAAGTAACTTGTTCAGTAATTGTCTTTACTAGGATTTCAATCCAGGTCCATCTGATTTCAGAACCTGTTGTGAAACTTCATACTACTACAGCTAGAAGAAAAACTCATTAAATATCAAAATTTTAATAACAGAATAGCCACAGTACCCAATTCTGAGCTACTAGACTTGGGGTGAAGGGATCATCTGTAGTTTGACTCAGTCCATCTGAGGGGGATGGAATTTTAGATCTTTATATTCATTTATCTCTCCGTGTGAATGGCTTCTAAAATATTTGATTCTTTCCCTTCTTAGGCACAAACTAGTGTAATTAACTATATAGTTCTTTACTTCTAAGACATAATTGATTTAATAACTTTTTGGAAATAAAAATATTGCGTTAAAGGTACAGAAAGCTTTTCTTACTAGCTGACAATATAGCACATATTTATCCATATAATTGGTACCTCAGTTTTCTTCAGTATCACAATCAAAGTTTGATTCTAAGCTTTCTTCTCTTCCAGAGACTAAGGAATCCTCTGAATTATTTTTGGCCCTCAGCAGTTACTCATAGCATCACAGTGGCACAATGATTTATAACTTGTGATTGTGGGTTTTGTTTTTTGTGTGGGTTTGGTTTTTTGGTTTTTTGTTTTTTTGGTTTTTTTTTTTTTTTGTCTCTTTAGAACCATTGTGATTGTATAATTTTAAGACCTAATGAAGACATGTATCCGAGTTGGTTAAATGATAAGACTTTTTAAAGTGAATTATATATCATTTGAAGTAAAATCTCTTCTCTTGAAAGTTAACCAAAAGCTGTCAAATCCTGAACAATTGTAATTTTCTCAAATAAGAATCTGTCACATTGGCCTCACTTGGTTTTGAAAATTCTGGTATCTGAAATATGGCTACATTCGCATGTGTGGGGGCAGTGACAATGGTACTGCAACTTCTCTACCTGGCAGCTGGCAAGTTCCTTTGATAACCACTTTAGATGCTTCCCAGTTTCAGAAATACTGAACTGTGAAAAATTATGCATCTTAGGATCAAGGCAATGTAGTATTGCATATAAAGTAAATTTGTTTGGATCCTGGCCTATTTTTCTTCTGATCTTTTTATGCAACATGAGGTACATGTTACAGATTTTGTGCTGAACCTTAGAGAAATTGAAAATATCCAGTGAAAATGAGAATTCAACATCAGCTGCATTTTAGGAAAATAACAAATACCAAGATTTTGGTCAAACCAAATTAAGGAATGAAAGTTTATTGGTCTATTTTGTGCAGAGAGAGAATCATTTACAAATATTTTTCATAAATTTTGATTAATGAATTATGGACAATCGTAAGAGATGTCGCCCAAGACCGTCTGACTACTACTTCTGGAATGAGAAAAGAATTGTTCTCTATTTTATGGGAGTGCATAGTAAAAGGACTCTGACTTGGAATTAATACCATTCATCCTTCAAGAGACTGTAAGGAAGTTGATGGGTTCCTAGAGTTCTAAGAAAAGAAGCTCTTTGGGGGCCTAGTTCTCTCCCTTAGTACTTACAGGTCTTCCCTATCTCTGGACTTACAAACACTTTAGGGCAGAGGTGAACTCTAATAATATCGCCATCTTCTCTTCCCCTCTCATTCCTCAGGTGTACCAACATTCGACCAGGAGAGACTGGAATGGATGTAACAAGCCGCTGCACCCTTGGAGACCCCAACAAACTGCCAGAAGGGGTTCCCCAACCTGCCCGCATGCCCTATATCTCAGACAAGCACCCTCGACAAACCTTGGAAGTGATTAACCTTCTGAGAAAGCACCGGGAGCTATGTGATGTGGTGCTAGTTGTGGGCGCTAAGAAGATATATGCCCATCGAGTCATTTTGTCAGCCTGTAGCCCCTACTTTAGAGCTATGTTTACAGGAGAATTGGCAGAGAGCCGTCAGACAGAAGTGGTGATCCGAGACATAGATGAGAGGGCTATGGAACTACTGATTGACTTTGCATATACCTCCCAGATAACTGTGGAAGAGGGCAATGTTCAGACCCTTCTGCCAGCTGCTTGCCTCCTCCAGCTGGCAGAAATACAGGAGGCTTGCTGTGAATTCTTGAAGAGACAATTAGATCCTTCTAACTGCCTGGGCATTCGAGCTTTTGCTGACACACATTCATGTCGTGAGTTGCTAAGGATAGCAGACAAATTCACTCAGCATAACTTCCAAGAGGTGAGTTGTACTTGGTGGTTTGAACGCATTCATAATGTATTTCTCAGGAGGGTAATAATGGGTTCATATTCTGCTAATTAACACATACCTGCCTGGATATTTACTGCTGACTTTAACTCATAATGTCAAAGAAATGTTTTTACAAATTCTAAGCCCGGTTTTTTATTCTAGAGGTCAACTTTGTGTTCTACTAGCAAAAGTTAAGGTTTAAGGATTTGTAAAAACAGCGTGGGGGTGGTGTCTGACCTCCTCCAGTGCCACAATGGGGAAGGAGAACCAAGAGCATCAGCACAAGGCTGACTCCCATGAGGCGGAGTCTAGATAAGCCTCCTCTCTCTGCCATCTTTACCAATTCTGACACCAACCATCTCTCACACAGCACTCATTACTTCTCTACTGGGTTCCATAATTCATTGCAATGGACACACAGAGCTCATAGACCATACTCATGATTGTAGGATTTGTTAGGGAAGTAACAGTTACAATTCAAACTCAGGAATACTCAAGAAACAGTTCTTCCATCAGGACAGCCTCTTCCCAGCCATGCTCACAGGCATGCCTCTCCTTGGACCTAGGCCCCTCCCCAAAGGCACCCAGCTTTCCCTCTCCTTGGTCTGGGAAGCCCACTGCACCATCTCTTGCTGCCGAGTCTCTGCTGCCACCACTTCTCACCGTCTTCAGGGTTACAGCTTGCTTTTTCTCTCTGTCTCCTGCTTCCAGGAGCTTCTCAGCACAGGGATCCCAGGTCCAAAGGATGGGTAGGATCCTCCTCTCTGCTCTGGAATTGGCTCTTTTTTAAGGCAAAAGACAAAGCTGATCAATCCCCTTGGTGAGCCACAATTACCCTATCACACAGTCCCACCCAATCACCTGGGTGGGAGTTACAAGACCATGGCTAGAAAGGCCGCACAAAAGTAATCAGTCACACCACAGAATTTAATCTCTTGAGTTGTATTCATAAGAGTCTAGTTTATAAGCCAGAATATAATTTAGTAATTCATAAGGGGATCTGGATCTGATAGAATACCTGCTGTCAGTCATTTGCATGAGGCACTCCTTTCCTGACTTCTTTGAATTGCTCAGCAGACTAAATTATAGTTAAGAGGTTATTTGGTGAATAATCAGGAAAAAATGAATTTAGACATTATCAAAAGAATTTTTCATTAAGTTTCTTATTTTTCACTAATTTATTCATTTAGCAAATATTTGTAAAGCTGCTATATTTCATCCACTGTACTTGGGAACCGAGGCCACAGTGATGAATAAGACACTAGAGTCCTTGTACTCATGGAGTTTATAACCTAGCAGGGAAAACAGCTATTGAATGTATAATTACACAAATAATCCATTTTGGTTAATAAGTGCTACAAAGCAGCAGCACTGGATGATATAAGAGTATATAACAGAGATTTAACTTTGGTTCTGGAACAGCTTGTGCAAAATCCTGAGACATGAAGAAGCATAGCTGTTTGAAGAACTGAAAGAAACCCATTGAGACCCAGACAGCAAGGGGGAAGATGTTCCATAATGATTTCACATAAAGTACAGGGCCATGTCACCCTGGAGTTTATAGACAGTGTTAAGAATTTTAGATTTAATATTAAGAGCAATAGAAAACCATTAAAGGCTATTCAGCAAAGGAATGACATGGTCCAGTGATTTTAAGAAATCACTCTCCCATCCACCTGGATAACCTCCAATGGATCAAATAGTAAATATACAAAATGAAACCATGAAAATATTAGAAGACAACATGAAGTAATTCCTTTATAATCTTGAAGTAAAGAAGGCCTTTCTAACTGACTAATCCAGTAGGCATAAGGAAGCGATTGATAGATTTGACTACGTAAAAATCAGAAATTTCTGCATGGTAAAACAAAACAACAATAACAAAACAGAAGTCAAAAGACAAACTAGAGAAAATACTTGGCAACTCATATCACAGAGTTAATCTTATACATCAAGAGCTCCTGTTTTGATCAGTAACCTAGACCAGTGACTTAACAGAAATATGGGCAGTAAAAAAACTGAAAGTCAAATTTCCCTTAAACTTATGAAAATATGTTCAAGTTTGTTTATAATAACTGAAACATACATTAAAACTACACTAAAGTACCATTTCTTTATCTGTCAGATTACAAATACCCAGAAGTTTGATAGCATACACTATTGGCAAGGCCATGGGGAAATGTCTTTACTTAAATATCTCACGGAGTCCCGGTGGCACAGTGGTTAAGAACTCGGCTCCTTGGAAACCATATGGTGCAGTTCTACTCTGTCCGGTAGGGTTGTTGTGAGTCGAAATAGACTCGATGGCAGTGGGGTTTTTGGTGAAATACCTCACATGTGTCTCAAACTCAATATATGTAAAATGGAACCCATGATCTTACCTTCTCAAGCTCCTCTCCTGTCCAGTCCATCTGTAGTACAAATTCCCAGAAGTGGGATTGCTAAATCAATGAGCATGTGTATTTGCAATTTTGATAGAACTGCCAAATTTCCTTTCATAAAAGTCATACCAATTTATACTCACTAGCAGTGAGTATTTCCCAGTGGACTTGCCAATAGAGTCTAAAGTTCAGAAAAGAGGTTGTTGTTAGTTGCTGTGAACTCTGTTCTGACTCATGGCAACCCTGTGTGTGCAGAGTAGAACTGCTCCATAGGGTTTTCAAGGCTGTGACTTTTCGGAAGCAGATCACCGGGCCTGTCTTCCGAGGCGCGTCTGGGTGGGTTCACTCTGCCAACTTTTTGGCTTAATAGCCAAATGCTTAACCATTTGTGCCACTCAGAAACCCCTAGAAAAGAAATTAGACTAAGATTAGAATTTAGGAGCTGTCAACATAGTAATTAAGCCCTGGCTTAATCCTTTTTAAGGAGATTGCAACCCAGAAGGTATAAAAGAAGAGAATAATAAATTTGATTGTATAAAAATTAAAAATTTATTTATAATAACAACAAAAAAATACGATAAACTAAGTTTTAAAAAAAAACAGTGCCAAACTCAGAAAACCTAGTTGTAGTATACATGACAGAAAAGGGGGCAAATTTCCATAAAACTCATAAAAATTAGATGAGAAGAAACATGAAAACAATAGAAAAATAGGCAGAGGGAGAAAATGGATGAGAAAAAATGAGCCACGGATCCCAAGCAATTTCAAAATCCCACAGGGAAAATTTAGATTTCAATGCCTGAGGATAATCCTCTGTGGTTTGCAGCTTCGCTGTCTTGGCTCAGTGCCCCACCCTTTCTTTTTCATGAATGGTAGCACATGTTTGCAGCTGAGTAGTTTTATCAACCTGTTCCCTGCTGGTAGAATTTGGAACCCTAACATTCTTCTCTTATTCCATTCTCTCTCTGCCCTTTGAGTCCAGTCTGGCAGCATTTCTGCAGATATAAAATTCTCAATAACCTTATGGGTCTATTGTGTATATCATGTGGATTTAGTCCATTAGATAAGAGGCTCCTTCATTAACCTTTCTTGAATAAGCTTATCTCTATTTCTGACTTCTGCTAAGATGGCTGAGGGAATCCTTGAGTCATACACTTGATCTCTTCAAAGAGCCCTCCATGTGGCTGATACTCTGACTTTTGATCATTCTGAGGCATTAGCAAAAGGTTATCCAGTCATGGTTTTGGGCTTCTCCTTAGCACACTCTTCTGAAAGTGAATCTTCTAATTTTTGTTGTCTTTTGCTATTTGGATAGGTTGAGAATTTCCCAAATCACCAAATTCTCATTCCTTTTTGCTTAATAGTTCTTCTCTCAATCTGTCTCTTTTCTTTCTCAAATTACTGTAAGAAGCAAGAAGATATCAGGCCACACTTTCAATACTTTGTTTAGAAATATCCTCAGCTAAATATCCAAGTTTATCATATACAATTTTGCTTTCCATGTAACTGTGGGACTTGGTTCAGCCAAGCTTTCTGCCACTATATAACAAGGATCCTCTTTCCTCTAGTTTCCAATAACACATTCCTAATTTCCATCTGAGCCCTCACCAGTAGCACCTTTAACATCCATACTTCTATCAACAGTCTGTTTATGACAATTTAGCTATTCTCTAAAACAGCATAGATTTTCTATACCATGTTCTGCACTTCTTTCTGAGTCCTTGCTAATGAACGTAACTGTAAATATCCAGATTTTTACAAATAATCTGTTCAAAGAAATCTAGACTTTTTCTATCATGTACCTCAAAATTCTTCTAGCCTCTGCCTGTTGCCCAATTCCAAAGCCACTTCCTCACTTTTAAATTTTAGTTACAGCAGCACCTCACTTCGATATATCAGAATCTGTATTTGTTTCATACTGCTTCTGTAACAAATTGACATAAATTTTGTGGCTTAAAACAACACAAATTTATTATCTTATACTTAGGCAGGTCAAAAGTCTGCGGTGGGCTAAAACCAAGGTGTCAGCAGGGCTATTCTCTTTCTGGAGGCTCTAGGGAAGAATCTGATTCCTTACATTTCCCAGCTTCTGGAGGCTATCTGCATTCCTTAATTCATGGTCGATTCCTCTGTCTTCAAAGCCAGCAATCTCATCATTCTGACATCTGCTTCCAAGGTTACATTTCTTCTCACTCTGACCATCTCCCTGCTTCCTTTTGTAAGGACCCTTGTGATAACATAAGCCCATTCAGATAATCCAGGATAATCTTCCCATCTCAAGATCCTTCACTCAGTCGCATCTTGTAAAGTCCCATTTGTCATATAAGGAAACATTCACAAGTTCTAGAGGTTAGGAAGTGAATCTCTGGGAGACAGTTATTCTGCCTACCGCAGATACTTTGGAAAACAGTTGTTCGTTTTCTTCTAAAGCTAAACATATAGTTACCATATGATCTAGTACTTCCACTCCTAGGCATTTTCCTAAGAGAAATGATGACATATGTCCACACAAAGATTTGTACATGAGTATTCTTAGCAGCTTTGTTTATAAGACCTAAAAACTGTAAACAACCCAAATGTCCATCAACGGGTGATTGGATAAACAATGGAATACTATTCAGTAATCAAAAGGAACAGACTTCTGCTGCATGCAACAATATAGATGAATCTCAGAAACATTATGTTGAGTCAAAGAAGCCAGACACAAAAGGCTCTTAGTGTACAGTTCTACTTAAATGAAGTTCCAGAAGAGGCAGATCTTCAGGAGCCCTGGTGGAGTGGTGGTTAAGAGCTCGGCTGCTAACCAAAAGGTCGACAGTTCGAATCCACCAGCTGCTCCTTGGAGACCCTTCAGGGCAGTTCTACTCTGTCCTGTAGGGTCACTATGAGTCAGGATCGACTTGACAACAAGTATAGTAGGAGAAGGAGCCTAAGTGGTACAAGCAGTTTGCAGTCGTCTGCTAACCAAAAGGTTGGCAGTTCAAACCCACTCAGTGGCTCTGAGGAAGAAAAGGCCTGGTAATCTGCTTCCATAAAGATTACAGCCGGGAAAATCCTATGGATCAATTCTAGTTTGTAGCACATGGGGCTACACCATGAGTTGAGGGCTAGAATGGACTAGAATGGCTTCTTGTAGATGTTAAAAAAAAAAAAAGTCACCATTTGGGGCTTAACACTTAAATTACTTAATCAAATCTATATTTAAGTTCTTTCTATGCCTAGCTTAATTCATACAGTGTTGCTGTTGCCCATAAACATAAATTTTAAAATCTTTAAACTCAGCAGCACTAAGTTCACCATTCATTTCTGTTAGAACAGCTCTAGATGGCTTTTCTTACTTATTGTTTGTTTTCAGCTTTATGCACTCTTCAAATAGCATCTGCATCCATCTGAAGAAACTGAAAATAAGCTGATTACCAAATAGTATGGGATTTAAAGTTCAGATCTCCTCTAAACTCTTATTTAAGAGAAGATACTGTAAAGCATTATTTTCTTAACCTGGTTGTTTGGTGCAAGGTTAGACTTTGGTGCTAGATTTGTCCTAATAATATATCATTACCATTTTTTTTCTTATTGGTGGGAAAAGAAGAAGTGACATTTTAACCAGACTTTATCAAAAGTATAATTTTTACTCTCTGCCCTTAATTGAATCCCTGGTGGCACAGTGGTTAAGAGCTTGGCTGCTAATCAAAAGATCGGCAGTTTAAATCCACCAGCTGCTCCTTGGAAACCCTATGGGGCAGTTCTGTCCTGTCTTATAGGGTCGCTACGAGTCGGAATCGACTTGATGGCAACGGGTGTAGTGTATATATAGTATAGCCCTTAATTAGCACCAAACAAATATTTTTCTCATTGTGATTTTTTGTGTTTTCTGGCCACCTCATGTTTCCAGTAAGTGACCTGTTAATACTGTAGTGATTTATTCATAAGCGTCAAACATGATAATCACAGATATTTATATAACATTTGGTTTCTAATCATTAAGTTGGAAAAAAATTTACACTGACAAAATAAAAAAAAAAGTTAAAGCACTCAACATTTTAACTTAGCAAAGATACAGGATACCATAATATTTATACTTAGTGGAGAAATCAGAGTGAAAGGAAAACAAGAAAGAAGAAAGTAAGATGCAGCTGTGGCTAAAGCTTTGCATGTTGTAAAGGCCAGTACATTTCATCGAGTGAGGACCCACGTTTGATTCTGAACTTTATAGCCCCCACCATAGAGTTGACAGATAAAATGCAGGGTGCCCAGTTAAATGTCAATTGCAGATAAACAAGGAAGAATTTTTTAGTATAAGTATGTCCCAAATATTGTCCTGTACTTTTATTTTCTAAATCTGAAAACCCTATCACAGAGAGTAAAATGAAATCATTCTAATTACTAAGCTGGCTGAGCAACCTCAGTTAAAATTTAAAGGTTACCTATTTAATTTCCCAAACCCCAAAAGATCTCTCACTCAGATTGATTTGAACACTTGTGCCATAAAAATTGAAGTACCCGTTCGTATTTTCTACCGTAAGTAAGACACCTCATGGCCCTAGCTTTTATTTTGCGATTTGCATTTTTTCCTTATGCACTGGAAAAAACATTCTTAAGTATTCAAATTATTGTTATGACTCATCTCATATCCTGCTAAAAGTTCTGACTTTTTGATGAGCATGAAAATAACCCTGTCCCAAGAGAGTTCACTGTCTGCATTAGAGGTAGCACAGTAGGAATTTGAGCCTTTAACCATGTCCTGCCTGCACTAGTATACCTCACATGTAGCTCAGTCTCCTGAGTGATAGAACAAACCACGGGGAGGGCGGCAATGACTGCTTCCCCTCTCTTCATTGCACCCTGTCCCTTTCACCCTGTATACTGAAGAAGAAACTTGCAAGATCTTAGCATTTGTGGCTGCACTGTAATATCTTTGTTGCTTTTTCACCTCCATTTCTGACAGTTCTCTCGCCTTGAACAAAGAGAAATCCTTGGTGTGTTTATAGTTTCTCACTGGCTTATATATCCAAGTGGTTTGGTCCTCAGAGGTTTCCATAGGTTTAATTTTCTCCTAACTATATTCATTTTGCTTACAGAACTGCTGACACCTCATTCTTTCTTTAAACTGGCCTCTTGGCGTTTCTGCCCTAGACACTGTCCTTTTAGCAATAAATCTTCTTCTGCAAGCTTTTCCTGATTTTTTTTTTTATATGCCTTTTATATTTCTGGAGTTGTCATTTGTATAGTTTGGTTTATTTTGAATATAATTTTTTTGATGATCCTTTATTTTAGAAAAAAAATAATTTTTCTTAAATTGCTTGAATTACAAATGATTATTATTTTAATTGTGACCTTGGTACTCTCCTTTCTTCTCTTTTTAAATTTTTCTTATCTCCTGGTATTGTTTTGAACCTCAGCTCCATTGTGAAATAGAGCTTTGCTTTATATTCCTAAAGAAAAATGTTGAGACAGTAAATTAAATGTGATCACAGGTTTGTTTGTTTTTTTGTTTTTTTTTTCTTTCATTCTTACCTAACAGGTGATGGAAAGTGAAGAATTCATGTTGCTTCCAGCCAATCAACTCATTGATATAATATCTAGTGATGAGCTAAATGTTCGCAGTGAAGAGCAGGTGTTTAATGCAGTGATGGCCTGGGTCAAATACAGTATTCAAGAAAGACGTCCTCAACTACCCCAGGTAATAATGGAAATGTTTCTCTGAGAAACTGCTTTGTATTAGACGAAATAATACATATTTGACTTACAAAAATGAAACAAATAATCCTCTCCCTTTTATTAAACTAAGGAAGTCTATCTTTTTCTAAATAATCAAGGAAATGAATGTTTAGAAGCATTCTGACTACTTATTATGAACTTTTTGCTCCTCTGCTTTCCCTCTATTTCGCATGAACTCTAGGTTTGGGCTATAGCACAAGTGAAAACCTAAATGTGATAAAATCACCCTTCCCTTTCCTATAGCTTGGAAATCTCACCACACTTTGAATAGTAAAGGGATGATATGGAACATAAGTGGTCACTGAGTGAAATGCTTAAGACCCATTCTTGTTATGACTGTAGTCTTTACCAATTTAACAGCATATTCTTTTAGAATGTTAATTTCGAGTCAAGTTATATAAGCTAATTATAGAAGCGCTTATATAACGTATTGCTGAAAGCTTTAAGTAGCATTTTGAAGAGATATTAGTGTGCTTTCAATTTTCCAGTTATTCTACATTACTGAATTGGTTGTTAGAATTCATTTGTTTTGGTATTTATGCCTCCCTCCCTCTTTCTTACATATCATTTTCAAATAGATCCCAAAACAATTAGAAACACAGTAGGTGAGCATGAGTCATTGTGATGAACTTAAATGAAAAATGTAAGTAGGTTTGTTCAGGGCTGTAGCTCTCAGCAATAATTGACATTTACCCAGTGGCATTTTCATAGGCTTTAATTACTTACAATAATTGGGATGGAGAGGAAAGGGTAAAATTCCATCTCAGACCAGACTCCCCAACCCCCCACCCTGACCCCAAAAAGGTCGTCATCCCCATTGCAAGTTAACAGAGAAATCTCTTCTACGCTCTGCATAACCCCTCAATACATCATAGGTGAAGGAAACAAAGGGTCAAAGGGCCATGGGGTTTCTCTATACCTTACTCCAGAGGGGTCTACGTGCATAGGAAAAGGGGAAGGGGAAGAAGAGGGAGGTGCCTCGATGCAATCTGGGTTCAGGGTACATGATGGTCTTGTGGTCAACCTTGATGGCATCAAACGAAGAACATTTTCTCTTCTGGGACCTTAGGGTTAGATCTTGCCAGCATGCAGTTATGTGGTTAATCATATACCTTACCACTAAGGCACTAGGGGACCTTACAACTTAAGGCACTAGGGGAGGAGGGTCTCTTGTCCCTAGGGTATATTCTTTCAGTACAAATTGCAATGTAAGGGTCATGCAGGCTGTGTGGGGTGAAAACTGCTTTTGCTGCCTTGTGGTCACGTACTCTCATAAATGAGAGCTTGCTCTCTAATAGTGTTTATTATCTCACAGGTGCTGCAACATGTTCGTCTGCCTTTGCTTAGTCCCAAGTTCCTGGTGGGTACAGTAGGCTCTGATCCCCTCATTAAAAGTGATGAAGAATGCAGGTATGAATGGCCCTGGAAGGGGAAAACCAACGACTATGTGTTCCTATTTTCTCCGAGTTTTTCTTTGTATTGCTGCCTAAATACTGTATTTCTTAGTGCTGAAACCAGGGCAACATTTCAGTATTTAACAGGTTTTTCTTCTGGGTTAGGGTCAAGAGGAAGAGATGGAAAAAGAGAGGACCAGTATTCATTCCACTAGTTTTTTATGTGTGGTGCTTATTCATGTAGAAATGGCAATGAAGAGGTAGATTTCTAAGATTTTAATGCAAGCTTGAATTTGAAGAGGCAATCCTCTGCTAATATATTTTTTTTTTCTTGAGATAAATAATGCTGTTCGACTTTGTCAGTGAGCACTTTTTCATTCCATCATGTATACCTACTTGAGGAATAGGAACAGCCTTGTTTTGTAAAATTCTGGACAGAGTTAAAGATCTACCACATTCATAAATTAGCTATGGAAAGATTTCTACTCGAGCTTGGTGAAGTAGTTTCCACATTTTTTTTGATAAGAGAAACTAAATGCTTAAAAACAAACATACAAACAAAAAAAACCTGTTTACTGGTCTATTTCTGTAAATACATACAAAATGTAATAAATTACTTTTACCAGGGTGACATATTTTTAAGATTTAGGTTTAAATCTGAAGCTATCTTGGTGTTTTTAAGTGATTTTTGTCCAGCATGTTCAAAATATACAAGTGAAAGAGCAAGTCAATACTCAAAACTCCTTAAACTCCACTGACTTTTGGGTCTCCCTTAGTAACTAAAGAGACTTGGAATTATCCCTGATCCTAGAATAGAGATAGGACATGGAGATTCACTTGCATTTCTTCTACAATCTGTAGTTTGTCCCTTTAATAGAATGTGTTAGATGGAGATTTTAGGTATTTGTCTTTTAAATTAAGAAAAAACAGCCTTTAATTACCCTGAATATTTATAAGGAAAACTGTATAAGTTCTACATGCTAAAATCTGAAGAAACAATACAGAGATGTCCCCACACTTATAAAGAAATAAATCAAATTGCAATGATTTTGATGCAGAAAGTAAAGGTACTTACAAAGTCACTGTTAAAAAAAACTCCTTCCTAATATCCTGGCCTCACAATTTACTAGCTGTGTGACCTTAGGCAGGTTACTTTAACCTTCGTTCTGCAGTTTCCTTATCTATTAAGTGAGGATAACAATAGTACCTATTCCATAGAATTGTTGTGAGGATTAAATGAATTATTATATATTAATCACTTAAAACAGGGACTAACACATAGCTGTAAGTATTGTTATTGTTGTTGTTACTATTAAATTTGTGTTGGCTTGCGAAGTATTACCTCTATAGTACTCTTTCTGGGAACCCTTGAATGCCATAAAACCAACTATTAAGAGATCACAGTCTTTAAGTCTGGGGAAGCTAGAAAAAGCTCTTGGTCTTTGGCTTGTTTGTTTTTTGGGCTTTTTTCCCCCTTTTCTTTTTTCAGGGTAGGTAAACTTAGAAGCAGCTTTAGCAAAGCCATTTATTGGAAAGTACATTATTGAGTCATGGCTAGGACTGGTCTAGCAGGAATTACTCTTTGTAACATAAAATAACTAAAGAAATGAAAATGTGGAGTAGTTTGGGAAACAGTTTCAGAGTTGAGACAGAACAGAGTAACAAATTGGATTTGCATTAATCAGGTACTGAACCACTCAAAGGACTTAAGTGAAATAACATATATAAAAAGCTTGTATTAGGATATTGTAGTTAACAAAAGTAATTATTAGTTTCTTCTCTTAAAGTACCTTGATTAGACAGGGAAAAATTTTTTTGTTTAACCTCAGTGAGCTTTTCGAGAGGAAATGGTTCATACTAGATAGCAAATTAATATTGACAGTATAGTGTTTATTTTTAGCAATTAGATTTTTTACTCAGTTTTGTTACTTTATTGATCTAGCAAATATCTAGTACCCTGGCTAATGTGCTTCTTTACCAGTATCCTGCAGAATCAAATAAAATACATTAGAAAGCAGTAACTATGCAGGCTAGTAATTGAGTCGTACTTTTTAAGATTTTCATAAAGTATTGTTGGCCCCGAACATGTTGAGTTTCAGGCCAGATTTGCAGTGAGATATGACATCCTGATGGAAATAGCAACCAATTCACAGCTCATAATATGACTGGCATCATTGCTGTCATGTTTGTACCCCTTTTAATATTGGCTGGCATTCATGATTTGATTTGATTTATGTTTCTTCCCCTTTGCCAATGTATATATTCCTAAGCCATATTGGGACTTGACTAACAGTGTTATTTAAATATTTTGAATAACGGCATATTTTTTTTTCCTCACAGAGACTTGGTAGATGAGGCTAAAAACTACCTCCTGTTGCCTCAAGAACGACCACTAATGCAGGGACCAAGGACAAGACCACGGAAACCTATCCGATGTGGAGAAGTGCTCTTTGCAGGTTTGGATCTTAATATACTGTAACTACTGGACTAAAACCGAATATTTTTCCACGTGAGAAATTATCATTTGAATAATCCTTTAAACAACTGTGGTATCCATTGTCATAAAGAACACATGATAATAGCTGTGGAGGGTGGATGAACCCCTGAAAACAGTTGCTCTGAGATAATCTTTAAACTTTAAACCAAAAATATCCCTTGAAGTCCTCTTAAATCTTTGTATATCTATATCTATATATATATATAGATATATATAGATAGTACTTTAGATGCAGTTTTACAGAACAAATAGTTTCTCATCAAACAGTCAGTACACATACTTATGACATTGGTTAACAACCCCACAACATGGCAACATTCTCCCTTCTCGACCTTGGAGGAGCCTTTTTTTTTGGTGAAAATATACATAGTCAAACTTACACTAGTCCTCTTAAATCTTAAAAATTTAGCGTACCTAGTGAAAAAGGTCTGCATTGAGCATTATGCTCTTTTAAGAACTATCTGTATGGGATCAAATTGACAACAGCAACTCGAAAGATTAGACAGGAACCTTAGGGGCCAGTGAATTTATGCGAATGAGGGAGGAATGACTCAGAAACGGAAAGTGAGAATGGTTGCACAACTTGAAGAATGTAATCTGCGTCACTAAATGGTACATGTAGAAACTGCTGAATTGGTGTATGTTTTGCTGTGTATGTTCTCAACAATAAAAAATTTAGAAAAAAAAAAACATAATAAGGCTGAAGAATATGAGTTTGACAGCATATAGCTTGACTCTCAACCCATAATCCAACACTGATATATTCTAAAAGAGTGCTCTCTTTTTATGTATTTTTATATTAATCTAAAAAAATAAGTGCAGTGGATATTTTATTGACATGAATCACATGTATGAATTTATATGCCAATGTTCCAGTTGCCGCATAATTACATCACTCTGTTAAGAAACATTATCTTACATTAAAGTTACACTCTTTCTTAGCTTTATTGATCCTATACTCAAGTTGACCTGCTGTATCATTTTGCTCCTACTGTCTGCGCAGAAATCTCAGATCTTTCTGTCTCAGGCGTGGTGAACCATTCAGGAATGCTGAGAGACAATAATGTAGCTCCCTTTAAATAGAAATTTAAACTTGACTTCACTTGAATTATTCAACTGCTATCTTTATCCTGCTAGTTCCTATCATATTTCTCCAAAATGACATGATTATAAATGATTATAAATTGTCAGGTGACACGTTTTCAATATATGACCCTTTTCATGAAAATCTCATCTGGATTTTTTTTATTGAATCGGTTTAATGAAATGACACTTTGCCTTCTTTAGAAGTCTGTTAAAGTGGATCAGTTTCATGATTTCAGATTCTGGCTAGTGATCTCATAATTGCGTATTGCTCTGTCAAAACAGTCTGGAGGCAGTGTCTGACCTCCTCTAACTTCACAAGGGGAAAGGAGAACCAAGAAAGATCAACAGCCCAAGGCCGATTCCTGTGAGGCTGAGGTCAGACACACCTCCTCTCTCGACCATTTTTATCAACTCTGACACCAGCCATCCCTCCCACAGCATTCTCTGCTTCTCTGCTGTGTTCAATAATTCATTGCAGTGGCCACACAGAACTCACAGACCATACTTACAATTATGGGGTTTATGAGGGAAGTAACAGTTACAATTCAGGCTCAGGAACATTCAAGGATACAGCTCTTCCATCAGGACAGCCTCCCTCCCCACCCACCCCGTCCCCCTCCCCCGCCCATCCCTCTCCTTCCCTTTAGGTGGGAGTTATAATACCAAGGCTAGAAAGGCCACACACAAAAGTAATTTATTAGTTGTATTTCTTAATAACTTGTGTTGGTGTTCTCTTTTTTCTCAATCTTTTTATATTCTCTAGATCGGAACTCCATTCTCGAGTGATACTGTTCACTGACGTAATTTTAGATCTTCATTCTTTTCTCTCTACTTAAAACTTGACCCTCAGTTCACTTTAGTTTTTATTACAGTTTTGTTTTTATTACGTTTAGGTTGCCAGTTCTCACTCAACCTTGAAAATTGAGTCTTCCTTTTCTTCATTCTGTTGGAATAAAATAAACACTAGAAGCCTCATGTTAAATCTATGATCTTAGTAGTTTTTTACTTAGGACATTTTACTCCTCTTGATAGATATCTTCAATTTTGGCTTCTCCTCTTATTTTCCATTAGGCTTCTTGATGCTTGTTAATTATATGTTTCTATTATTTTTAATGTTCACAGCTCAGTGAACCTTATTCCAGATTCTTTCTGAAAGTTGCCATCTTTATGGAAACACTTTGTGACCAATAGGTCTTTGAAGTAATTCTTTTGAGAGTCAACATCCCACATATGTAAAACTGTATGTCCCCTTTTCTGCAATATTTTTTCTTAAGTATATTGCTTAACTGAATTGAGAGCTCCCAGGGCAGGAACTGTGTGTATACTTTATTTTTCTAAGTACAGTATACTCAGCTAATAATAATAAATTGACTAGTTCTGTCCAAGTTATGCCATCTCTGCTGCCCTGAAAATCATAATTCTCATAAAATCACCATGAGATAGTAGAATTGAGCAACCCTTTCATTTTCATGCTTCTGTAGCTGAAGGAAATGGTTAAATTTGATTTCCTAGAGGCCTATTTTTTTTCTTAGTGTTGAGGAACACCATTTGTAAAGTGATATGAATTTGATTTGGAGATATGTAATCCAATAAAAAGCTGGTTTTAATGGCTTCCATTATAAAATTGAGATTTAGTGATTAGACTATGTGATTTCTTTCAAATGCTCATAACCCTCACATTTGCAGCCAAGTTTTATTTTAGAATTTAGGATGCTTTTCCTGAATTGAAACACCTTACGTATATCCTAGAACAGAATTTAAATTTAAGGTAATTAATTTACACAGAATTTATTATGATTTAGTTTTAGCGGAATATCCTTATTTAAATTGAAAACATAATAAAATAGAATTTATGTAGCACATTGAGATTTGAAATAAAATGAGGTTGGAAATATTATTCCTATTTTAGTCTGGTTCAAGAAGTTACTTGAGACCCCTTAGAAACTAGTGGTTTTTAGATGTTTTGAGGTAAAGCTATCCTTAGACTTCACATTTTATGCTCTAGCATTCTAACTTTTATTTTAGATTGAAATACAGACAGTTTGGAAGAATAACAAATTAAGTGTAAATGCCATAACCACACTTTTTTTTTCAGAAGCTCTCAGAGAAGTTTTATGGAACTTAGTTTGAAACTGTTATTTTGGCTATTACTCACTTACGGAAAATATAATTTCTTCAAAATATTTTCTGATCTTAAATGTCATGTTGAGTAGTTTACAGTTAAGTCCAGACTACAGATCTAAACAGAAAGTATTTTGTAATAATCATAAGAATTTTTGTACTATTTTTAGTCACAGAGAGACCTATGAAGAGATCATGAATAGATGAGCCAAAATCCATCTCCCCTATTAAAAGAAAAAACCAGCTTCTGAGGTTTGGTTCTTGTTTTGGCTTTTGATAACACATTACATTTATGCAGCATTTTTGTACCTTAAAAAAGTTTCACATATGTATTACTTTTTAATTTTGATTCCTTATCAGTGAGGAAACTATGGTTCAACAAGACTTTACAGAATTCCCCAAGATCACACAGGTACTAGAGGTAATACTCAAACCCTAGTTTTCTGGCCGTCTGCTTCCATAAAGAATGCAGCCAAGAAAACCCTATGGGGCAGTTCTACTCTGTCACATGGATCGCTGTGAATCGAGGTCAGCTCGACTCCTAACAACAGCAGAAATATCTATTATATGCCACATTACCTCCAAATCTTATTTGAATTGGTGCCCTTTCCTTCCTCTGTAAAATGGACATAATAATACTAACTTAATTAAAGATTTTAGCAATCCCAGCAGAATAAGTTAAAATCATAACTTCTTTTGACCTGCTTCTAGGGACGTTTGCTAAGTTCAAGCCTTAGGTCACAATTAAAAGATTAGCAATGGGTGACACATTCTGGCCATAGGACAGTTATACTCCTGACCATTTCTTTTATTTCCCCAGTTGGTGGTTGGTGCAGTGGGGATGCCATTTCCAGTGTTGAACGATATGACCCACAGACTAACGAATGGCGAATGGTAGCTTCAATGAGCAAAAGGCGATGTGGAGTTGGGGTCAGTGTTCTTGATGACCTGTTATATGCAGTGGGAGGCCATGATGGATCCTCTTATCTCAATAGTGTTGAAAGGTGAGTAAAGTCAATTTGAAATTTTTTTTCTACTATAAAGTTTTCATTTAAGATGTTAATTAAGAAAGAGATGTGACTGTTGCTGTTTTAGTATTGTGTCTATGATACTAGTTGGCATCCTAGACCAGTTAGCGTGACATATAAGTCTTTTCTGATCTGTTCTCCACCTGTTTTTCCAGTTTCTTTCCCATGGCACACTGCCATTCTCTAAACATGCTACTGCAGACTCACCAAGCTACTTGTAATTCCTTGGGCATACCATCCTCTCTCATGCCTCTTTTCCTGCATGTGTGCATGCCGTTCTTTCTTCCCTGGAATGTCTCTGTCTCTTGGTTACCTGTTATATTCTCACTTATCTTTCAAGGATCAAATGTTACTTCTTACATAACCTTCTCTGACACCATACAGATGAATTCGTTACTTATTCCTCTGTTCTTTCATAAGTATTTTGAACATACCTGTACATATAACATCGTGGTATAATTGTTGAAATGTCTTTTTCCGTAATGCCTATCATGGTGCTTGGCACATTGGAAACCTCCAGTAACTGATTTTTTAATAACTTCTAGCTTCTTACTCTCATATACCCTTTTTCATTCAGCTGTGTGGATTCTGATTTACAGTGAGTCTTGGTATTTCCTTAACACATCTGTGAAACCCTACAGCATATCAAGACCTAGCAGTATAAATTGTATACCTGAAAGAAACAGAGGGATCTCTCCATTGAAGTTTAAAAGCGCACGCACACACTTAAAAATTATTGATGGGTTAAATAAGAAGAATAGATACGACAAAATATTTACAACTTAATAACAAACCTATTATACTTAAGTGGTGGGATGCAACTTAGGTGGTATGGAGAGACAGATTTATATGCATATTAATTTATATGCATTCATTTGAAAATAAGAAATAATGTGAAATAGAGGACTTATGCTTTTAAATCAAAAAGTTACAAAAAGAGCAACAAAAACACAAAGTAATACATGCTACTTTTAAGGGTGAACCTTGAAAACAATATATTGGTTGAAATAAGTCAAACACAAAAGGACAAATATCCTATGATCCCATTTATATTAACTATCTAAAATAGGCAAATGCATTGAAGCAAAAGTTTATTAGAGGTTCTAGGGGCTGGAGTGAGGAGGAACAGGGAGATACTGCTTAAAAAGTACAGAGTTTCTGTTTTGGATGATGAAAAAGTTCTGGAACTACATCATGGCAATTGTCACACAACATTTTGAATGTACTTAATGCCACTGGATTGTACACTTTAAAGGGGTTAAAATGATAAATTGTATGTTATGTATATTTTATCACAATTTTAAAAAATTTGATGAAAAAAGTGAACAAGTTAGCTACATTAAAATAAGTTAAATAAAGGGAAGAAAACAAGAAAGTAGAAAGAAAAAAATAAAGATAAAATTAATGAAAACAAATCAAAATTGGTATAGCCACAAAATGAGCAGTTTGATAGTATTTTTTAACATAGAAAATGAACATACTCTGACCCAGCAATCCTACTTCTGTCTATTTGCATAAAGAGAAATCTGCAAGGGTAATCACTGTTTTTTTAAATAGAATATTGTTATAACCTAAGAATACATCAGTAGGGATATGATTAAATAATATATGGTGCACACAATATAATGAAATATCATACAGTAATTCAAAGGAATCATCTAGAACTATATCTATTAACATGAGTAGATCTCAAAAATATGTTGAAGGAAAAAAGATTTTTAAACAATGCCTACCATATGGTATTGTTTATGTAAAGAAAATACGCTTGTATATATATGAGTACATATATATTATGTATACATAAGAACATATATACCTATTTAAAAATTAGGTATATATGTACTCATATACACACTTATATAAAGTAGATAATATATATGTATGTATATATATGTAAAAGTCTTGAAAGATATATACCAAATCAAAATGGGAAGAGACTAGAATTAGGGTGGAACTCAAAAGGGACTTTACCATATCTATAACATTCTGATTTTTTTTCAAAGCAAATATATTTATATATAACTTGTTTAAGTAAAAATAAATTTCAAAAAACAGGTACATAAATAGACTTTCATATGCCTTAGTTATAATCAGCCAGTAGTGTTAGGGGAAAAAATTTGTATCATATAAATTCTTTTTATTTTGAATATGTAAACACAACCAGGCTTTTTTTGTGTAATCAAACTGTACTCTTGATGTGTCCTTTCTAGATATGACCCCAAAACAAACCAATGGAGCAGTGATGTGGCCCCAACAAGCACCTGCAGGACAAGTGTCGGTGTGGCAGTGCTGGGAGGCTTTCTCTACGCTGTGGGTGGCCAGGATGGTGTGTCTTGCCTCAACATTGTTGAGAGGTGATTTTTTTAAAGTCATTTTCCATTTTCTTTTGAAGGATCTAGAGGGCTCTTTAAAAGAAACAGTTACAGCTGAATTTGTGACACTGGGGAATCTATGTCCTATAGACTTTAAGGGGAAAGTTTTCAGTTACTCTTGAAGTATAGAAGGATTAAAGATATAACTCAATTTTTTGTTTTATTTTTTAAATCATGTGTAACAACACTGATTACTCCTAACATTGAAGTGTTGGGAACATATTTTAAATGACATTCTATTTACGAAATCCGTTCTGATTTTTCTCCCAGTCTACCTGGAGTATACTTAATGCAGACTTTGTCCAAACCATCTTCAGAGAAATTGTGAAATAATATTTTTTTGTCTAGCATATCTTCTAAAGAGCCTGAAGTATTTTGTACATGGGTTCTGTTCTTAATTACTTGCCCTGTCAGCATTTTGTCATTCTTTTCATAAAGATTAGATTTTGGAGTCTCATGTGCTATTAGTACTGGTAAGAACATACTATATTCATCCTCACTTCTTGAAAAGAAATAGTTCATAACCCTTCAGAATTTTTGAAATAACAGTTACTGGTTTGGTTATTATGTTTAAGTTGAAGAATTTGACTCTGTCATAAATAGAGATGAAGTTGAAGGTATCTCTTAAAAGCTATGCTAGTTTCCTTTTATCTCTTCATCAAGTCACCTATTTTTCCACTTCCAAAACTACACAGCACACCCACTAGGATGGCTACTATCAGAAAAACAGAAAATAACAAGTGTTGGCAAGAATGTGGAGAAACTGGAACCCTTGTGCATTGCTGGTGAAAGTGTAAAATGGTGCAGCTGCTGTGAAAAATAGTTTAGTGGTTCCTCAAAAAGCTAAACATAGAATTACCATATGACCCAGTAACTCCACTCCTAGGTATACACCACAAAGAATTGAAAGTAGGGATTCAAACTGATACTTGTATACAAATGTTGATTGCCGCATAGTAGCCAAAAGGTAGAAACAATCCAAGTGTTCATCAGCAGATAAATGAATAAACGAAATGATTCTGTATCCATACAATGGAATGTTATTCAGCCATAAAGAGAATGAAGTTCTGGTACATGCTACCACATAGATGAACCTTTAAAACATTGTGCTGACTGAAATAAGTGAGACACAAAAGGACCAATATTGTATGATCATACTTAACGTGAACTATCTAGAATACGCAAATGTGTAGAGACAAGTTTATTGGTGGTTACCAGGGACTGGGGGGCGGGGGGAGTTATTGCTGAAGGAGTATTGAGTTTCTGTATGAGGTAATGAAAAACTTTTGGAAATAATTATTTGTTTTAGGGGGCCACCAATATAGGGGGCTACCTATATATTTTAGGATATTTAGTAGCATACCTGGCCTCTACCCACTATGTGCCAGTAGCACACTCCCAGTTGTAACAATCAAAAACATCTCCAGACGTTGCCATATTTCCCTGGGAGTAAAAATCACCCCTGGTTGAGAACCAACTGGGCTAGAACCATCTAGTCCTGGGATGCCCTTCCAGGACAGGACCCCACACTGAGAAAAAACTACTGGGAGTAAAATCAAAATTGAGCAAGAAAAGGACAACAGATACAGTGAAAAGAAAAGGCCAAGATAAAGATAGGGTCAATGAATAAAGCCAGTAAATCTCAGTAGGCCTGCTATTACATAATTTTAACAGTATGTTAAAAAAAAAAACAAGAAGCAGCTCCACAAAGTTAGAAAAAGTACCATGAGCCACTCCTCCTTCTAAAAGTTCAGGAAAATTCATTTAATATAAAAATGAACTACAGCAAAGTATTGAGATTATATCCCATGCAGTGGTAATATAAGAAGAGAGAATAAAAAGCAGAAGAACATCTCTACGGACCGTGAAAGCACACCAGAAGGACATGCCCACAGAACGGGTAAAAACTAATCAACTATTTCAAAATGTACTAAAAGGCATTAAGAAAATCACACAAGATATGAAAGCACTACATAAATCAGAATTAGAAAAACTCAAAAATGAGGTGACAGAACTCAGAAAAATATTATAAATGAAAGAATAATTTCAGAATGAGGATTAAGCTAGAAGAACAAATAAGCAAAACAGATAATGTTATAAGAAAAGTAGAAGATGAAAAAGAAGAAATATTTTAAAGTCAAAAAGAAACAAGGAGACACTCAAAAGCAAAAAGAAAAACAACTCAATTAAAAAATGGTCAAAGGACATGAATTCACATTTCTCCAAAGAAGATATACAAATGGCCAATAAACACATGAAAAGATGCTCAATGTCATTAGTCACCAGGAAAATGCAAATGAAAACCACAATGAAATACCACTTCAAACCCCCTAGGGTAGCTATTAGGAACCCTGGTGGTACAGTGGTTAAGCGCTCAGCTGCTAACCAGAAGGTTGGCAGTTGGAACCCCCAAGCCACTCCACAGCAGAAAGATGTGACAGTCTGCTTCTTGCCATGGAGTCGATTCTGACTCAGCAACCCTGTGCCTTGGAAGCCCTATGGGGCAGTTCTACTCTGTCCTATATAGGGTCACTGTGAGTTGGAATTGACTCAGTGGCAACGGGTGGTGGTAGCGTGGCTATTATCAGAAAAACAGACAATAATAAGTGTCAGTGAGGATATGGAGAAATCGGAACCCTCATGCTTTGCTGGTGGAAATGTAAAATGTTGCAGCCTCTGTGGAAAACAGCATGATGGTTCCTCAAAAAGCTAAACATAGAATTACCATTGTTGTTGTGTGCCGCCAAGTCAACTCCGACTCATAGCAACCCTACAGGACAGAGTAGAACTGCCCCATAGGGTTTCCAAGGTGTAGGTGGAGGATTCGAACCGCCAGTCTTTTGGTTAGCAGCCTGAGCTCTTAACCACTTCACCACCAGGGCTCCACAGAATTACCATATGACCCAGCAATTCCACTGCTAGATACACACCCCAAAGAACTGAAAGCAGAGATTCAAATAGATATTTGTACACCACTGTTTGCTGCAACATTATTCACAATAGCCAGCCAAGTTTCCATGTATCTGTTTATCCAGATAAATGGATAGACAAAATATGATATAGTCATATAATGGAATATTATTCAATCCTAAAGAGAAATGAAATTCAAATATATGCTATGACATTGATAAACCTTGAAAATATTATACTGAGTGAAATAAGTCAGACATAAAAGGACAAATATCGTATGATCTCATTTATATCAACTATCTAGAATAGGCAAATGTATAGAAACAAAAGTTTATTAGTAGTTACCAGGGGCTGGAGGACTTTCTGCTTAAGGGGTACTGAGTTTCCCTTTGGGGCGATAAAAAAACTTTTGGAAATAAATAGTGGTGGTGGTTGCACAACATGCTGACTGTAATTAATATCACTGAGTTGTACATTTAAAAATTGTTAAAATGGGGAGACAATTTTTGATAACCATATATCCAAACCAAAAAGACCGAACCCATTGCTGTCCAGTTGATTCTGACTCATGGCAACCCTATAGGGCAGAGTACAACTGCCCCATAGGGTCTCCAAGGAGCAGTTGGTGGATTCAAACTGCCGACGTTTTGGTTAGCAGCCATAGCTCTTAACTACTGTGTCACCAAGGCTCCATTACAGAGGTGCAGATCAA